AACGGGAGGGAGGGAGGAGAGAGAGAGAGAGAGAGAGAGAGAGAGAGAACATGGAAACGTGAGGTAATGACTGAGGAGGTGGGAGCCTAGAGTGGATGCCCTTGCTGAACCACAGCAGGGGAATGCAGCTGCTCTGAACTCTGAGACCACCAGCAGCCTGGAAGGAAATCCTATCTCCTTCAGATCTGAGCGTTAGAGAGTGACTATAAAATTGGCTTGGGGACAGTAAGGTGATGATACTTGGGAAAACTTGTTTGGAGCAGCGGAAATCATAATGTTATCTCTGTGTTAAGCAGAGCAGGGACAACATAGGTGGGAAGAAAAATCACTTCAGGGGAGATAATATACTACAGGATAAAACAGAACATGTTACTAAAAGGGTTATAGCAAAAATCAGGAACTCCCCTTCCTGCCCCCCCCCCCACTATCTTTGAACCAGAGCCACTGAATTAAAAATTGGCAGAGTACACTAAGTGCCACTTCATTCAAACATCACTGAAATGTGTGTGTATGCAATTAATTACAATCCAACTTGCTTTCCTAATGTCTAGTTTATTTTGCGCTACATCCAAAAGCAGCATGTAAATGTACCTGAATCTTAGAAGTGTTAAAAGCAGTATTGACAGGATGATTCTATGCCAAACATGAAAGCACCACCTCAGATAATTAGTGTTTTATAGTATTGGTGACCAGATGGATACGTCCACAATATGACTCATTACTAGAGCTGAGCAAATAATGGATTTTTTCAGTTCAGGGGCCAAACTGGGGGTGGGGGAGAGAGGAGGAATCTTGAACAATTCAAACTGAAATTTAAAAAAAATTAGGTGAATCAAAAAAGTTAAAAAAATATTTTGTATCAACTGAAACGTTTCCAGTTGACTCAACAATTTTGGGAGGGTATGCAATTGATTTTGAGTCAATCTAAATAAAATAAAGCCCCTTCATTTATATACGGTCATACCACTTGTGAAGAACTGACACACGAGAACACAATTAAGGATAGCATCTGCCTTACCTCAATTTTCTCCCATATAGTTTCATAATTGTCTTGGTGTTGTATATCTTGCATCAATTGTTGAATTAAAGCTGATTTATTTGAGGCAGAGGTCTCATTTTTCTCAGAGGACTCAGTCACTACAGGTTTTCCTGACTTGTCTTCTATGTATTTTTTACTGCAAGAGGCAGGCACACAAAGCTCTTCATCTGAAAGAATGTCACTCAGAGGCCCAGATTCAATGCTATCACCCAAAGAGGATACTATGTCACTTGAAGAGCTTGGTGAAACCCTACCCAATTTTTTGTGCTTCTTTTTAATCTGATATGTTGGATACATCTCAGAATCTGAGTTTATTTCGGACAGCTCCCAGTCATCAATGTTTTGAATGGTTTCTCCTCTGGGTTTCTGAGGCAGCAGTTTTGTTAAATTTTCTAACTTCAAAGCCAATACTTCAGTCTGTTTGAGGTGTGATGGAAGTGCTAAATATTCATCGGAACCATACCAGGCCTCAACAACTTTACCATTTGTATTATCATAACTTGGTGATGACAGGTAACTCTTCTTGCTCCTATTTCTTGGAAGAACAGGTGAGGAGGAGATAACAGGTCCTGAGTCAGTTGAAGATGCACTTTCTTGGCTATGAGTTGGTGAACTAGATTGTTCATTTTTACTTTGGGACTGACCATTCAGTTCTCTCTGATTACAGGTATCAGCTGATGTGGAAGCAGAATCTGGTTTTGTACCTCCCATGGACTGAGAGTTACAGGAAGGAATTCCATTTTGTAGAGCTGAGCTCCCTTTTTTATACACCTGCATTGCTGAAGCTGTGTTAGATATACCCACAGGTGTCCTGCATGATGTCACCTTCTCAGGAGTATCATGTGATTTTTTGTGTCTTGGCTTTTCTTTCCAAATGTAACAATTAGACTTACCTAGACTTATGGAACTTTCCTTAAAGTGATTGTTTATCATGTACTCAAGGCTTCTATCACCAATTTTATGTAAGCAATCATATGACTGACTGACAGCAGATGGACTGTTATTGTAAGATGATTGTAAAGCCAAGCAAAGCTTGGATCTGTCTGGTGGATCTAATAATGAGGGTGTACTTCTGCTCATTTCAGTCTTTAAACTAAGAGAGGTGGGTTTTTTTACATCACTGGCTTCCATATCATCTTTAATCACTTCTTCTTTTAAAAACAGACCTCTTTTTGGCAATGTAGGCTGTGTGGGAGAATCCTCATTGTAGTTAAAGCAGTCTCTTATTGACCTTTTGGGAGTTGAGTTTTCACAGTGTGGATGCTGTTTGCTTTTTGCACCAAGATGGTGCAATGGATTGTATTTGTGTTTCTCTAAACTGGAAACTGGTTTTCTGTCATCTGATAAGATGCCATCTTCAGAGCACGATGCTGTACAGAGAGATGACTTCCCAGAAGGAGAAAACAGTGAAAGCTCAGGTGATGTGTTGCTGTCTTTGCTTTCTCCCTTATCTTCTGTTGAAAGAGGTAAATGGGTTTCTTTCACATTAATGGCTTCATTGCACTTGGAAACAATGGAATCAGTTGCTACTGCAAGTAATCCTACACTTTTGATAAACTCTGGAAAGTCTTTTTCCATCTCACTGTAGTTCCAAGATTCAAGTGGTTTTGCATTAGCTTGACTGGAGGTCATGTCACCCAGGGCACCAAGCAAATCCTCACTTGGGCTGTAGTCAGACAGTTCAAATGCAGTAATACCACAATCCAGGGATAAGTAATTTTGAGAGCACTTGATAGTTAACTGTCCTGAGTCATCCACTTCAGTTAAAGAGTCAAGACGGTCCTGAAACAAAATAAAAAATAAAGACCTTTTAAAAAAGGGATTTCAGTTTTAGTACTACACTGCTACCTTGATAAAACTCCACCCGATATACAGGGCCGGCTCCAGGCACCAGCTTGTCAAGCAGGTGCTTTGGGCAACCACTCCGGAGAGGGGCGGCACGTCCAGCTATTCGGCGGCAATTTGGTGGACAGTCCCTCACTCCAGCTCGGAGCAAAGGACCTCCTGCCGAATTGCCGCTGCAGATCGTGATCACGGCTTTTTTTTCGCTGCTTGGGGAGGCCAAAACCCTGGAGCTGGCCCTGCCAATATAACATGAATTCGGATATAACACAGTAAAGCAGTGCTCTGGGGGGGACGGGGCTGCGCTCTCCAGTGGATCAAAGCAAGTTCCATATAACGTGGTAAGATTTTTTGGCTCCTGAGGACAGTGTTATAACGAGGTAGAGGTGTATTAGTAACTATTCACTAGATGAATTCTTAAATCCAGTATACTAAAGGTCACAAATCCAACCAGTGGCAATGTATTCTTATCTACAATCTAGAAAAGCAGTTGTTACTGAACTGCCACAGAGCTTTGTACAGTACATTTTGAGTGAACTGTTTTACAACATTTGGGAATAAAAGCACAGCAGAATGGCCAAGTGTTAATCTGCACATAGGAATGTTTAACTCCTATATGATATCACCCTGAAGAGTACAGCAAATTGTAACTATCCTGAAGAGATACTGTTCACCATTGTCATGGCATGGGTATGATTGTTATTGTGTTTGCAACTAAATATCAAAGTCTCTGTCATACTCATCCACAGAGAAACCAATGCAAGAGAACCCCAAAACTCCACAAAATTGACCAAATTGAATCTCCCAGTGCTAGTCACCTTGAACGGGAGGGGATTTGTGGGGTCAGAGTGGGCAAGGGGCGGAAAGCATCTGTGTCCAAACCTGGTAAAATCTGTGATTTCTGAAACCCATGGATACAGAAATATCCACATAAGAGTGCTGCTCCTCCAAGTCACTCCACAGGCCTCCTACTGATTGTCAGCATGGATCTTTCAGATGCCAATTTGCCATTGGCAGAGTTTGCCCACATTTGCACAGTAGCACTGCTGACTGCACCTAGCTTCATGCAGCATTAACTCCTGTTGACGTATCCACTGGGATATCCACAAGGTTAGCTGAGGACAGTACTGTGACCAGATGCTGTGGCTGTGTCTATAATACCCTCCTTCCACACCCTCTATCACAATCCCCTAAATATCAGTCCTCCCATTCTCAGAAGCTGAGGGAACAATCCTAATGGAGCACTAAGATTTTAAGCGTCCAGACAAATGTGTATAAAAAAATATTTAAGAGGGTTCTGAGACTTAAGTGGAGCAGGCAGAAAAAGGAAAGATTTTAGGATCTAGAAGCAGCCTGACATACTAGCAGTCACAGCAAAATTACATTTGGTTTACAGTTTGTTATTTAAACATTGTTTTATAGCTAATTTAGGGTTCCAGCATCTAAGCAGGAGTCAGCTATCTCCCAATTCCAATATATATATTCAAATTTGAATATTTGAATAAATACCTCAAAATCATAGGCCCAAATTCTGTTCTTATTTACCCTACTCTATATCGGGTGTAACTCCATTGAAGTCCACTATTTAGAATAGTAAAGATGATAAATCACTCCAGCTAGGTAAAATTACAAAAATAAACTAAAAAAGCCATGAAAGCAAACATTTGCTCAAGTGCTGGCATTAAAGTGCAACCTACTATTTAAAACATATCATGTCTCCGCCTCACAGTAAAAGCTATTTCAACAAATGACCCCCACTAATAGTCAAAACAGCTGCAGTCTCAACAAAAGAGTAGCCTTGTGGTTTGCCTCCTACCTTGAATACTGCACAATACTAGTTTTGGAGTCCCTTAATCAATAAGGACACAGCGATTCAATCATTAAATTGTTAGGTCCTCAACAAATAACGCTTGTGTTAGCCAAAAAAACCCAAACAAACCTAAAATAATAATTAACACTTAAAAACCTTTAAGTTAAAATGTTTTTTTGTAGAAAATTGGTTTGGAAGATTTTATCTGTAACCTAAATCTGTGGAGTTTTCTTTAAATTTTTTATTGTGTGCATTCCTGTCATGTGAAGGGCCAATTCAATGAATGGTAAGTCATGAAACTGGTGTGCCTGCATTATTTATGAACAATGTTGTATAAAGTCATTAAAATATGTATGATGAGGAGGTCAAAGAGCAATATTAACTAGCTTAAAATGTATAAAGTAACTGCTGGAAACATACTCAAATTATTAGGGCGGGAAATAGGCATCATGCTTGTGTGGCTCCATGCTATCATTAGTAGAGCCCTGCAAATCTGCGGATATGTGCTTTATATCCGTGGATGTGGATATCCACTTGATATCCAGGGATGCGGATATCTGCGGACCATGTTTGCGGATCGTGGATCGGATGAGGATACAAATTTTCTATCCGCACAGGGCTCTAATCATTAGTCATCCATTTTATTAAGCAAATTTTAATTTTTAGTTTTAAAAAACAACAAATCACTGCAATTTAAAACATTTTGCCTTTCTTTACAACCAATCAGCAATAACTATCTAGCAATATAGAAAAAATAATCTCTTAATGGGATACCATTAACCTGGAAATCCCATTCCACTCTGTAAAATTAGTACCTACTATTGTTACATGCAATCCTTATCATACTGACAGAAATCACAGAAATAATTTATTCATCTCTATTATCTTATTTATTTACTTGTCTTATGGATTTGATAGCATTTTAGGTATAGTAGGGTCACTGTTTTGTTGATGGTTAGTTGCACTTCCTGTCTCATTATGGAAGTACCGACTAGGATGGCCACTGCCCAGGTAGAGGCCACTGCCCCTTTAAAAGTCTCATTCAGGCCTCCCTCAAGCTCAGTCTAGGCAAACACAATAGGTGGCTTTTGTGAAGCCCAAATGTATGTAGTAAGATCACAGAGCTGGTCTGCTACAACCAAACCCTTGGTGGCTCTATTTACAGTCCTGGATCATCTCTCCTTGGGTAGGTGGGAAGAGTCCTAAGCATCCCAAAGTCCCCTTCTGGCTACTCAGGTTGCAGCCTCTTCTCTAAGGGGGAAAATCTTCCCCTCAGCCAGGACCTTTCTTTCTGAGGGGGCAGTTGCTATAGCAGACGTAATCAGATCCAGTTGGGGCACTTCCTGCTTCTCAGTGCCTGAATTAAATCCTTCCTTAGGCCTTGAGATCCTAGTTACAGAAACCCTTACCACACTCGAGCCTCAGCATCATGGCTTCACTCCCATTCACTCCTCTGAATGTGCTCATGGGCATGCCTTTCCTTAGAACTTGCAAGAAAGTGTTCAAAGCTGAAACTGAATCTGAAGAAGCAGCAGGTATGTGTACAGGCAGGAATAGGGGGAGGAAGAAGGTGGCCCTGGACATGTTTGATGGTATTGATTTCAGGACCCCCCTCCTCTGTTGCAAAGACTTTTATATACATCAGCCACAGAGTAGAGAAACTTTTCAGTTTTTAAGAAATATCTTCATACTCTATCAGAAACTTGTGTTATCTTAAATTAATCCATTTAATACATTATAAGTCCAAAAGGGACCATTATGATCAACTAGTTTGACCTCCTGCATAACACAGGCCATAGAATTTCATTGTATAAAGCCCATAAACTTTTTGTTGTTGTTGTTGAGCTACAGTATATCTTTTAGAAAAACATCTAATCCTGATTTTAGGGCTTCAAGTGATGGAGAGTCCGTCACATCCCTTACTAAGTTGTTCACATGGTTAATTACCCTCATTATTAAAACTGTGCGCCTCATTTCTATTTCAAAAACATTTGAGTTGACAAGGTCTCTTTAAATCAATTTAGTAACCATACTTACTGAGCAAAAGGCAATCCAGTTAAATGCATCTATATTAATAAGCCTATTAAATTGGTACAAACTTTACATGCATTAGAAGAAAGTGTGATTGGAGTTGGTCTGCAGGGATGTTGCTAACACAAATGGCAGTTTGTAGACTACACTTTCAAAAAGAAACTTTAACGTGGCCTGTGAAACTGTGGATAAAAATTTTCCATGCCTAAGGTTTGTGACTACAAAGACAAATTCCATGTTTTGATTTACACATGCAAATGAACTTTTCACACACCGATCTAGAGTTGAGCCTGAGCTCAGAGTTTTGATTTGGATACGAACTTCTAAATTACAGGGTGACTAGATCAGATGTTTGGGGTCGAAGGTACCTCTGCACCAATCTGAGTGTATCTGTGGGGAAAATGTTAGGCTCGTGGGAAATATTGCCTGTTATTTTAAAGGATGTTTTTGAAAAGTTGGTCCTATGATCCTACACTTATTTGGTTCAACCAAAATCAATGTCATCTGAAGAAATTTAAGATGAGAATATCTATTCAATTAGCCTCAATATATTTGGCTGCACTGGCAATTGTTTGTATGAAGTGCAAACCACCCTAGCAATTTTTAAACTAGTAGCTGGGTAGATGAGTTTAAATTCTCTAATATGACTAGGGATTAATGTTCCAAAAGTAAATGACTGCATTTATTTCTCATACCTCTTTTGTCTCCTCAGAAAACGCTTGCAGAATATCAGTCTGCCTGGTGTAGTTTCCATTGGCATCCTGTAGTCCCTGTAGGATGCGTTCCCTCAGAACCAGAACAGAAACACGTAGCTGGTGCCAGAGTAGCTGCACTGTATGTATATCGACTATCACATTGACGGAATAAGACAGAAGCTTCAGGGAAAACTCTGTCTCTAACAGAGCATGAATTTGTTCAACATGATCAGATATATCTTCACATATATCCTGTAAGAGAAAAGAAGAATATATCTTTAGCTACAGGTATAGGCTCTATAAGGATCATCTCTACTTTTTGGCCAATGCAGAAAATGTGATTTTAGATAGGGAGAATAAAGTAATTAATACATACAGGGTTCTCTATTTATTTTTTATTTATAGCAATGCTACAACAACTGAACAAGCAGCTGTCCTATTTGGCAGGAGTGTTCACTGAGTACAGAGATAGCATACAATAAGTAAGGATGGCACAACAAGATCATATGAATCATAGATAGAAAAACAGCACTATAAAGATGTCATCCTAAACCATAGTGATTACAATGAAAGTATTAAGATTGACCCAACTGATCTCTATTCTTGATTTAAAAAAAAAAGTCAGAATGTAAAGAATTTGATTTGTGCCATTCCCAACAAATAGGTATAAACAGAATTGCCATTTTAAATCAGTAAGAATCTAGATATATACAGTGTTTTATGCAGCAAAGAAAGGGTTAAGTCATCGGCAAGCTGATCAGGTATATTAATGTGGGTAGAAGACATCCTGTGATGTCCAATTAAAGATTTACCCTTTTGCTTACTGGAACAACTTCCAGTAAATTATACAGCACAATGGATTTCACTGACTCTAAACTACAGATTAATGGCACATTCATTGTGAAAGACCCATTTAGAGTTTATCTGGACTAGGATTTGAAAGTGCATTGTCAGAATGTGGCAAGCAAAAAGGCTAATGTAGACAAATCAGTGAGTACTTTTAACATAAGCAATGTTGAACTCCTTCACTAACAGGAGTTACGAGTATGCATTGCCTTGTTTGGACTTTTAGAACAGGTTAATTAGCTTCTAACACAGGGGTGGGCAAACTTTTTGGCCTGAGGGCCACATCTAGGTATGGAAATTGTATGGTGGACCATGAATGCTCACGAAATTGGGGGTTGGGATGTGGGAGGGGGTAAGGACTCCGGCTGGGGGTGTGGGCTCTGGGGTGGGACTGGGCATGAGAGGTTGGGGATGCAGGAGGGTGCTTCAGGCTGGGACCGAGGGGTTCGGAGGGCTAGAGGGGGATCAGGGCTGGGACAGGGGTGCAGGCTCCGGGTGGCGCTTACCTCAAGCAGCTCCCGGAAGCAGCAGCATGTCCCCCCTCTGGCTCCTACATGGAGGCATGGCCAGGCAGCTCTGCGTGCTGTCCCATCTGCAGGTGCCGCCCCTGGCCAATGGGAGCTGCGGGGGTGGTGCTTGGAGCAGGGGCAGCGTGCAAAGCCCCCTGGCTGCCCCTACACGTAGGAGCTGGAGGTGGGGAGCTGTCGCTTGCAGGAGCCACATGGAGCGGGCCAAGCCTCGACACTGCTCCCCAGCTGGAGCACCAGAGCGGGGCAAGCCCCACACTCCACTCCTTGGCGAGAGCTTGAACACCAGATTAAAACGTCTGAAGGGCTGGATGTGGCCCCTGGGCCATAGTTTGTCCACCCCTGTTCTAACACCATGCCTTTAAATCCGCTCAAGATAAATTCAAATTTCAGAGTTAGGATTCAGAGGGATGTGGATAAAATTAAGCAATCACAATCAAACACTGGATTGGTTTGGTCTGAAATGCTTGCAAGGTGAGAGTGGTGGGGAGCTGTCAAACCAGCCCACATGGATAGGGCCAAAAGTATGTGACCCAGGAGACTGCCAGTGTTTTCAGATGCAGGCGGTTTGGTAATCACACACAGTGATATCTGGTAAAATTTACTGGAGCTTTTTAGGGATGGAGTGTACTTGCTGGATGCGGAGGCTGACACTTGGCTAAGGGACCTTAAGGATTGGATGGGGGAGGAAATAGATACCAGGTTGTGTGGGTGGAGGTGATTGCTGAGACGCCCAGGGGTCAGTATCTTATGCAGATAAAGGCTAAAAGAACTAGCTCCCAAAGGTAAATGAGACCTGGGATTTTAGTTTGTGGATCTTGTACCTGTAAGGGGAGACCTGAAATCTTCATAGACTAAGGGTCCCTCTTGGTACCACCCACACCCACGTGCATGAGTGTAAGGTTAGAGTACTCAGTAGTGAGCTGGAGTCTTGAGGGGTAGGCAGAAGGGTGTATCCCAAATAATGGGAGTCCTGTAACCCTGCACTGGACCCAGTTAAACACCTGGTATGTGAGATGGTGGGTATATACTGCCCTTACCCAGTATTAATTAAGTTAGTCTGCTGCTTAAAATCCATTCCACCGTCTGTCTTTCATTCAACTGTGTGTTCTAAGCAAATTAGATTAAGAAACATCCCAGTTTTTGCAGCATGTCAGACTTGCAACTAATCAAAACAGTTGTCTGGAGACCTGGTATTTATTTTGGTCTTCATTAATATTTTTGTTTTAATAGAAGCATAGTGATGTAAGAGGCAAAGCAAAGCTTTTCTGCATTGACAGTATGTAAAATCTTCTGTATCAATTTAGATCTGATGTTTATAATTTAAAGTAAAGCTAACTTCACAATGGTGTTTGGTGCACAGGGAAATACTGTGGGCACTATTTAAAACATAATTTTTAGTAACTTAATATTAATAAATGAAACCAAATTCCCTTGAACTGTATTAAAAATGGCTTTAAGTAGCAATCAATAGCTCAGTATTAGCACTTGAGAAACAATTAAGGTTAGAATACTGTCAACAGCAACTTGGACTATGTTATTGTAATAGCTGGCTTGGGCCTAAATAAAACCTCCTATGGGAAACACCCACAGAAAGGCCAGAGATTAGCATAAGGCCTCCTGGAGTTTCAAGGAGCATGGTTTCTCGGCTGCCTTGGGGTGGGGATAATATCTGTTCTACTTTGTACTCAGCTATATTGTTCTATCATCTGGCAACCATATTCACAACTGTACAAAACAAATAGATTGATCGACTATACTGGGAGTTGCAAGTGCTCAGAATCTCTGAAAACTGGGTTGAAAGTTTCCAGTTTGGCAAAACAAATGCCCTTGCTACTGTACCACTACCAGGCCAAAAATCACTAAAAACTTAAAGGCTGATCCAAAACCAAGACTCCCAGTGAATTAATAGGCTAATCCAAACCTTCTGTTTTAGGTCTTGTCTACATATACATTTGCATCACTTTAACTCAAGCTATGTTTTCAAACCAATTTCATTAAATTGGTGCAAGTTTGAAGGTATATACTCTGAACTTTCTCATGCAGATAGGGCATATTGGTTTTAACTTAAGGTGTGGTTTAAATTGATGTAGTTAAACTCATGGGTGCTGGAACTAGTGGTACTGCCACACCCTCTGGCTTGAAGTGGTTTCCATTATATACAGGGTTTACAGTTTGGTCCAATGGCTCTCAGCACCCCCACTATACAAATTGTTCCAGCACCCTGGTTAAACTTATGCAAAATCTTGTATAGATACTTTTATTCCATTATATATCATGGTTGTTTGGTTAAGTTCAGGTCAATTAGGAACTGATTTATGCTAAACCAAAGTAAGCTACTTTTAAACCAAAATGACTGTCCACACAATCTTTGCACCAGTTTAACTAAACTGGTTTCCAATTGTACCTTAAATTAAGCGGTGCAAGTTTCTCAGTTAAACCCTAATAAGGGCTGGTCTAAGCAGGGCCGCCCAGAGGATTCAGGGGGCCTGGGGCAAAGCAATTTCAGGGCCCCTTCCATAAAAAAAGTTGCAATACTATATTCTCGTGGGGGCCCCTGTGGGGCCCGGGGCAAATTCCCCCACTTGCCTCCCCCTGGGCGGCCCTGGGTCTAAGAATTGTTTAATTTGATTTAGGGCTTCTCTACAAGGGAAAGTTGCACAGATTTAATTTAAATTGATTTTTTTTTAAAGCAACATAGATTTGGTTTACAATGGCTCATTTTGGTTTCATTTACATATGGCTCATTGGTTCCCAATCAACTTAAGCTAAACTGAAATAACAGTGAGCACACAGGAGTTTGCATCAGTTTATCTGAACTGATTTAAATGCACACTTTAGATTAAACCTGTGCAATTTTGTTATATAGACAAGCTCTTAATTTAATCCAGTAAAAAAATAGGTTAAACTAAACCAAAGTAAGGGACTTTTAAACCAAAATAAGAGCATCCACATAGGAATTTGCACCTGTAGTCTATCTTACGTGGTTTAAAATACAAATTTAAGTAAAACCTGATAAGGCCTTAGAGTCCATCCATTAACGCTATGCACTATATTAAGAGGAACAAAATAGCCTAAGTGATACCATCTAAATAGCTACTTGAGGCTACACCAAAATACTATTATTTACATTACCAAATTACTATTGGAATGCCCAATTGGAAAGCATGATTACACTTTATTCAGAGTTTTAAAAGGATATTAAAAAATACTCAAGTATTTTATTTATATGAATTCCCATACACGTCCCTGAATAACTGGTTAGTTAAAGTTTTCTTCTATTTTACTATAAAACAGTATAAATGATTGCAGGACTTCATAAATTAGAATTGTAAATGTGTTTAGCTTGACTTCTGTTGGGCTACTCATGTACATAAAGTTAAGCATGTGTGTTTGCACAATCATTTCCCCAGATCTATGTAAATCTGTGATGAGGTGGACTAAGTCCAGAGGCCTCCTGCTGGAGGCCTCGTGGCCCTGCCTCACCCCGCCCAGCCCTCTGCCCTGACTCCTGCACTCCCCCTCCCCACACCCAGCCCCCTGCACTCCCCTCACACCTCCCCAGCCCCCTGCACCTCCTCACACACCCTGAGCCCCCTGCCCTGACTCCTGCACCCCCACACATACCCAGCCCCCCCCACCCCAACTCCTGAACCCCTCCACATCCCCACCCCCATCCAGAGTACCAAATGTGAGCTCCTGCACCCCTTGCATTCCCACCTGCATCCCTCACACCAAACAGGAGCTGCCCCAGGTAAGCACTCCACACCCCAACCTCCTGCCCCAACCCTGAACCCCCTCCCTCATCCTAGCTCCTAGCCAGACCCTGCACCCCAACTTTTTTTTGCAATATTTGGAAAGATCATTAAGTGGTCCATC